GATGTAAATGGGTCTACAAAGTGAAATTCAAGGCAGATGGAACCATTGAAAGACACAAAGCTAGACTTGTTACTAAGGGCTTCACTCAAAGAGAAGATCTAGACTATCACGAGACATTCTCACATGTGGCTAAAATCGTCTCCATAAGAGTATTATTGGCTCTAGCTGTAACCAGAGGATGACACTTTCAACAGTTAGATGTCAATAACACTTTTTCACATGGAGATTTAAATGAGGAAGTGTACATAGAGATTTCTCTTGGACATCTTAAAAGGAAAAAAGGGAAACTACGTAGACTTCAAAAAAGCTTGTATGGGCTTAAACAAGCATCCAGACAGTGATATGACAAATTTTCTGAGTTTATTACTCAACAAGTATTCAAGTAATCCAAGGCTGACTGCAGCTTATTCATAAAGACCAATGGCGAAAGCTTTACCATACTACTTGTATATGTTGATGACATTATTGTGGCAGGTAATGATGAGTCTGTTATTAAAAAACTAAAGATAACATTGGATAACAAGTTTAAAATTAAGGATTTAGGAAATTTAAAGTATTTCCTTAGCATTGAAATTGTTAAGTCAAAGAGAGGGGTTCATATATGCCAAATAAAATATGTCCTAGACCTTTTGAAGGATGCAGGGGTTCTAAAAAGCAAGACACCATCGCGCCCCTTGGACCAGAATATTAAACTTTTAAAGGATGAAGGAGAGCCAATACTAGATCCATCGATGTATAGGAGATTGATTGGAAGGTTGATGTACCTCACATTGACAAGACCTGATCTGGCTTACTCTATTCAAGTTCTAAGTCAGTTTATGGAGAGTCCTAGAGATTGTCACTTAAGGGCCACATATAAAGTCCTAAGGTATGTTAAGGGTAGACCAGACCAAGGTTTATTTTACTCAAATATATATGAGTTAAAACTAAATGCTTATACTGACAGTGATTGGGTGGGATGTCCAGACACAAGAAAGTTTGTTATAGGATAATGTATTCTTTTAGGCAATTCCTTGATATTTTAAAAATCTAAGAAACAACAAACAGTTTCTAGATCTTCAGTAGAGGCGGAATATAGAGTCATGGCCAATGTGTGTTGTAAGCTAACTTGGATAAGTTACTTGCTTGATGACCTTAAGGTTATAATTTAGGGGGAACAGACTTATATTGTGATAACAAGGCAACCATACACATAGCTGTTAATCCTATATTTCATTAAAGAACCAAGCACATTAAGATAGATTCCCATTTAGTTAGGGATAAGGTACAGTAAGGGAGTATAGTTACGAGGCATGTGAACAACAAACAACAACTAGCATATATTTTCATTAAAGCCTTATCTAGTTAGCTTCTCAAGGAGCATATGATCAAGATAGGAGCTGAAAATGTCTACTCTCTATCTTGAGGGGGGATGTTATCAGGCCTATATAAAAGAGACTGACCCGGGCCACATGATAAAGACCAAAACACACCGGTTCACTAAAGAGTGATCTGGTGCGTTCGAGCTCAAGTAAACTCGGGGATAAAATGGGTATTTAAACTCATCTTCTTCTCTGAGAAACCCTAATTTTCTATCCTCTCTGGCGGACACCAAAAAGCTTTCAGTTTGCTTTGTTTTCTTGCATTTTGTTTCTAATTGTTTGCAGGTGAATACATACACACATCGCGCATCCACTCCTGCGAATAGCTTCTTTCTCCGTTCCCTCACCTCAGCGCCTTCCGCCTTCATCGAGCTTCTCTCTTCATTCACTTGCCTCCACGCCTTCTGCCTTCGTTGAGTCTCTTTCTCTGTTCACTCGCCTCCGCGCCTTCTGCCTTCGTCAAATTTCTCTCTCTGTTCACTCGTTTCCGCGCCTTCCACCCTCACCGAGGATCACCTACGCAATTCGGTATTTTCTTTCAACTTTACGTATTATTTCTTTTATACGAAAACGTTGATTTCTGGATAGCTTGATTGGTGAACTTCATTTTCTTTTAAGATTTTCTAAACAAGAGTGATATGAGGACATTTAAGAACTAAAGGAAATAATTTTAAAAAGTAAGAAACAACTTATCTCACCAAAAAGAAGAAATTTCCTTCTCGGACACGCACACAAAACACACATTTTGTTTTGGTGCACTATAACCTTTCTGGTTGTAGTTTTAGACTTTTACTTCACTCCTCACACACTCTTTTGCCGATGTTTTGGTTTTGAATTAAAGGAAAACGAAATTGTGAAGAGAAAATGAGCCTTTTATTTAGATCAACTCAGCATCTCAGCCA